CCAAGAGGAAACAATGAGACTCCACTGGGGAAAAGAACTTTGAGAAGCCCCTGCAGTGACTGCTGCGACCAGCACTAGCACAGCTGAAGCAGTGAGCGTCCCCGTGACAAGAGCTTGGGATGCGTGGCTGCGACTGGAGGGAGACAGGGCTGGTCGCGGCCGGCAACTTGTCCCTGGTTCCACACCTAGCTCAACCGTCGGGAACTTCAGTGGCTGCAGCACTAGTTTCAGCCGATCTCCTCTCCTGTGACAACCCTCACGTCCCGTCTCCAACAGCCCGCTCCCAGGGCCAGCGTGGCCTCCGCACTGCTCGTACGTTGCCACGACTTAGACACACCCCACCTCTAAAATCTTCAACTTCAAAACCTTAATCTGGCCGCAAATTCCCATTACTCCAGCTCACTGTTAACCCTCTTATTTTATATACTTCTCATCTTTAATTTCATCTAGACTTCTGTCCCAGAAATACTAAAATTTCTCCCAATCCATTGGCAACCTTCTGTTTTTTAATTCTTTAAAACCCTAGCCTAAATCACATGACCCATCACCTCTTTCTTTTGTCATTATACTTGAACTTTTTATTTCTTATCTTTGATCCTTTATCTCTTTTTTCTTTATAAGGCATTTAGCATCTCCACCGATAAACCTCGCCACCCTGTGCCCCTGGAATACACACTCAACAGCTCAGACTACAGTTGCTACAGTTTCATGGTCTGCAACCACCTTTAGCTCCCCAGAATTTGCCTTCAATATTTCAACACTTCTCCAGTTTGCCCTCTAGGATACAAACAAGACCTGAAAAAATGGATGTACCATGATTTTTAAAATGGTGAGTTATTATCTTAAGAATGTCAATCCCTCTGAAATAAACAACTTAAATGCCATTCAAATAAGTCTCTGAACATTTCCATTTGAATGAAATTATTTTAAAGTTTATACGGAGGAACAAGTGTGTGAGAATTGAAACTCTGAAAAGAATAGTAAAAGCTAGTTCCCTACTAGACATGAAAACTTAACTATAAAACTACAATAATCAAAATAGTCTGGTATTGGCATGAAAACAGATCAGCAGATTAGTGAAATGGAACAGAAAATCCAGAAATACCCCCAAATACTTATGGGAACTGATAAAGTGAAACGGCAATCTCGGTAACAAAGAGGACAACGCAACCGAGGAACGCTCCTGGCAACCTGACCGGCCACCTGAAATAAAAGCAGGCTAGACTCTCACCGACACCATATTCAAAACTAAGTTTGACATATTGTAGGAATAGTTTTT